TGAGGGCTAGGAGCACACCAAGACGGAACCGGATGGTGGGGAGTCTGAGGTATGGTACCTTCACCTCTAAAGTGTCATTCTTGGAGCAGCTACCTATCTAGGAAATGCTGTCCTCAGAGACCTGGGGCACATGTCTGAAAATCCCAGCTCCCAAATGTATGGGAAACACTGACCAGTCAATGGTGGAGAAGAAAAATCTTGTGAAATACTTACTCTTGGGGAGAATCCTTGCAAGCTTTTATAGCTTGAGGAGTGGCTAAACAATTGGTTTTGTTTCCTCTTGGAAATATAAACTATCTGTACCTGTTCCAATCAAGCTAAGTTTAAAATCATCACATGAGTTTTTAAGTAATCACTGAAGTAATAAAAGTCATCTTCATTAGCCTATCTTTGCAAAAATGATTTTGTTTTTTCAAAAAAATCACTTAACACTCCTCCCCAAGAGATTCTCTAGTTGAATGTTTACCATCCTAGTCATAGACAAGGAGAGAATAGATCCAACGGTGAGCCCAAATGCTATCCTTCCTTCTCTGGCGAACTCCCAACACACACACACCCATTGTTACTCAGTGGTTTGAAGCATTTACTACACCTGGTTATTCTCCATAGTACTATTGACCTTAGGGTAAAGCAACAATATATCAATTCAAAGTTTACAAAGTTGTCTAAAATTGACATGGTACACAGGATTTTAGTTCAACAAGTTAACATTACAGAGATTCATATAGGAGCCAGGTTGGATGTCATAAATAAACCAAAATCCTTTCTTTCCTTTCTCTCTCCCTCCCTCCTTCTCTCCCTCTCTCCCTCCATCTCTCTCTCTCTTTCTCTTTCTCTCTCTCTCTCTCTCTCTCTCTCTCTCATACACACACACAGACACACACACACAGTTTGAATTTTAACAAGAAGAATGGTCACAGAAGCCGACTATTGGAGGTTCACAGGTAAAGTCCACTTATTAATTCCAACATGCCAAATAATGAGAATGGACGAGTTAGGGTGAAGACAAAGTGTATTATGGGTCATGGCAGAAGAAGAGAGGTATACATTTCAACCCATCTGTCCTATAAAAATTACTTTGGGTTTGAATAGGAGGAAGAATTGGAGGCAGATGGAGAAGCATAAGTAGTAGTAGTAGTAGTAGTAGTAGTAGTAGTAGTAGATTATTATTATTAAGCAGTCCTAATCACAGGTGCCCCAAAGGCTTAGATGGCACTCACTGGTGGACTGGCAGGTCATTGTTTCAAGATGGGTCAGGTGAATCGGGTGGGGCCTTGTGTCAGCAGTAAGAGGCACAGCTGCTGGCAGGTGCTGTTCTGTTCCTGTCAGGTGCTTCTGAAGCCATGGCAGGAGAGAATGGCTCAGACAGAAGGACACAGCCATGAACTGGATGTTGGGAGACCTAGCTTTCACCCTGCTTTCAGTTAGTTCATGGGCCCAAGGAAGAAATCAGTGCTTCTTTTCTGCAACAGAAGCTGATTTTAAGTAGAAGAGGTTGCCACAAATTTCACTGAATCTAGGATAGAACGCCACACCACTACCTCCTTTATAGGCTCCTGTAAAACAGCCTTTGGTAGCAAATGGGAAACCAGTCATGTCTCTTCCAAGAGCTCTCCATTGTCAGCTGCCTTGAAGAAAAAAGCAATGGTCTCAATAACTAGTATATGTATGTCTAAGACAAGCAGAAATGGTCAGATAAGTTATGTTAGGTGAAATGAACCCCAAGATAAGGATTCATTTTTTTTTCTTTCTTGCGGTTGTTTCTAACATATTTAGAAGATATTTTTTTGTTGCTTTGTATGTCCCTCCCCCACGGTATAACCCCTGTTTTCACTGTATTTGATGTTGGTATAATTTGTGAAGGGGAAAGGAAAAAATGAATTGTTTAAATAGGGATACTGGTGGACCCATTGCAACAATGAGATGTACAAGATGTTATGTCAAAAAACAAACTTTACAATTTTGGCGTGGGGGCGGGGAAGGGGGGGTTGGGGAGGATGGGAAGGTATGGGAAGGGGAAACAAAGGAGGAGGCAACAATGCTTGATAAGGAATGTACTCATTACCTTGCCCATGTAATTGTAACCCTTCTGTATGGTATTTTCACAATAAAAAAATGAAAAAAAGCAATAGTCTCTATGTATGTTATTAGCATCAGAGGTATTGTCCATTTCCTGTCTGAATACTTCACTTAACAAGCAAGTTTTCAAACTATATTCTGTCCATAAGCAGACCTGTCCAAAAGGAAAAAGTTCTAAGGTTACTTCCTTGGGATTTGAGTTATGAGCAACTGTCTCCCAAAAGTCTTCCCGGTCCTTCCCAATGTGAGTTCTGTCGAACCTCCCATTGAACTAAGGGCAAGTCTCAGATCAGTCACTTCGTCATGTGACTATATTCTCCTCATGTATCCTTTTCTAACACCCATGGACATCTTTACAAAATGTTTGTTCTAGTCATGGTGATATTCTTTGTAGCAAGTGCTTAAGAGATATTGTGGGTAATTGAACTAGGTCCCATGGATCTGACCAGCTATGGAAGCAACAACAACAAATGCATTTGATCTTATAAAACTGAGAGCACATCTTGTAATACCCTGGGGCCTATTCAAGCAAATCCAACCTACAAGTCAGTGTTGTACAAACCCCTGGATTTCACACATAATCTTACTACAAGTTGTTGAGACTGATTAAAAGCTAACTAGCAGGACTGAAATGGTTTGATGATCATCTGGTTAAATTTAATTACAAATCTACTGTGGATTCACCAAATTCAGACCAGGGTTTCACTGGACCCATGCATCCTGAATATTATCAAAACAATCATGATAACAGACCATACATTCCCAGTTCTGAAATCACGTAGCCATGCACCCTATCAAAGAACTAAGCAAAAGCCACCAGTGCATTTACCTGCCAGACAAAAGAACAAACCAGTGAGGGATTCATTCAGTACGTGACTCTTACTGTGTTTTACTCTGAAGTAGACTCAGAAAGTCTCAGGCATAAAGAAAGGAATTCATTCACAGAGCAATATTCAGAGGTGAGGCTTCTGGGAAATTATTAGATAATGAAATTCCTGACCTAATTGATGAATGGATCTTTTCATGGACTCACAATTGGATGGAACTATTGGTAGGCAGTGGAAACTAGGACTTGAAGGCGGATCACTGGGAATGTGGGTTTGAGGGCTGTGTCTTGTGTCTAACTCTCTTGTTACTTCTCTGCTTCCTGACTGCCACGAGGTGAGCAGAGTCCTTCCTTCACGCCCCTCTGCTATGTGCTTCTGCCATGATGTTTCTCCTTGCCTTGGACTGCACAGCAATGGAGACAGCTGACCACGAACTGACATCCCTGAACCGTGAGCCAAAAGACACTTAGATTGTTCACCTCAAGTTGTTTTATCACAGCAATGGAAGGCTGACCATCACTCATGGATAAATGTCAGGGTTTCAATAGCTCAAGAGTATTAAGTTTGCAGAGGCTGCACTAATTAAACAGGACAAAGCGTTAGGCTAGGTAGAACTTTTGTCATGGTAAAGTTGTCCTGTCCTAGTGTTGATCCCTTTGCCCTTCTGTTCCTCATTGTTTAACTAATGGAATTGAGCCAATGAGTTCCAGTGTTTGTGGCAATATCCCACTGGTCATTGTGAGACTTTTTAAAAGGAATAGATCAAGAAAATGTGTGATATATATACACACATATATAATGTAATTCTACTCATTGCCACTCATAAAAAAATGGAAAGACCTGGAAATAATTATATTAAGCAAAGTAAGCCAGAGCCAAGGGAATGTAGGCTGGAAGTTTTGCCTCATCTGTGGTAACTAGAATGTGACTATAAATCTACAAAATAACACACAGAATGATATATGGTTATAGAGAGAGATGCCAAAGGAAGATATGCATAAGAATGGCTGACAAAGGCTGAGAGCTATGTGCATAGGATCATATCAATTACATTCTGGGAAATGAGCTCCAAGAACAGGAAACAAGACAGATTTTGTTTGTAATCAGCGTGTTTCTTGAAGTCCGTTTGACATCCAAATAAAGAAAGATTCCTTTTACAGAATGAAGGACGTGCAGAGGGTGTGAGGTGAGGGTATGGAAAGAAGCTGTGAAATGATTTATGGTGACTCACATTAGATGAGATTGTACATGCATTCAGATGAGCCAGTGGCCTGCAGCGATCGCAGATCCCTGAGTAGGGGGAGGCCTCTCACTGTCTTTGCCCACAAAGTTGCATAATCACAATGGTGAAAGCTGGCCTGGTTGTGAAATCTTCAGTTGGATTTCTTGAATTGAACTGATATGGGGAGGTGGAAGCGCCAGGAGGAGAGCTATATATTATACCTCAAATCTCATTTGCACCAACATCAGCTCACAGCTTCCCCAACGACTTCAGTTTCCCTTTGTGGCACAGGTAAGCAGGAACACAGGTAAGCGCTTTTGGCTGTTACGGCACAACAACATGAATTACTTTTCAGAGTGTTATGTCATGCATGTACTTTATTCGATCTGACTGTTTTTCTGTATCGTGTCAGGGAAAATAGAAAATTTCCCTTGCTCCAATTAATCCCTCAGCTCAATGCATTTTTACAAGCATGCAGACTGGTTGGCAGCTGAAAAGCCTTGAAGGAAAAGACAAAGAGGGGGCTTTGGAGAACTGGCTGGATGTTACCCACAGAAATGTTCACCACGGCCTTCTTTATCAATATTTCTATTCAGACAACGATGAACAGAAAACTCAATAACATTTAACTACTTGTTTGATAGTAGTGCTTTCATTCATCTTTTTTAAGTAGGAGATTGATATATGTCCCTTATGGAAATCTAAGAAAGTGAAAAGAACAAAAGCTGTCATTACCAAAATCCTACACGACAGATACATTATTTTCTTTAAGAAACTTTCACCACAGAGTAGGGCTTCTGCTCTGTAACTCCATTCTACAATGAATGGCATTTTCCTTTTTCTAGGAGTTGCAGAACCCTGCCAAGATCACCATGAATTCTCTCAGTGTGGCAAACACCAAGTTCGTGGTTGACTTCCTCCGGGAGTTGGGGCCTTCGGCAGACAATGCCTTCTTTTCCCCTTTGAGCATCGCCTCAGCCTTCTCCATGGTCTCCTTGGGGGCCAAGGGAAACACTGCACACCAGATTAAGGAAGTAGGTGTTCCCTTCCTTCTGTTGACCTGTGTGGTCTTCTCTCCCCTGCTGGGTTGGCTAAGCCAGCATACAGATGGACAGTTCTGAGTAGGAGGCCTGAGGGAGGCACAGGAGGCCAAGCTCGCATGCCTACAACTGTGTGGTCACAGTTCCCAAATTCTTGCCCTCTACTTCCTTGTGCCAGGCTGTGCTTTGGAAGCTGGGCTATCTTATTAGACCCACTAGGAAACAGAGATGAGCTTAACATGTGCAGACTACTGGTTCATTGGGTGACTTCAAGGGACACATCATCAGACATGTTTGAATCAGAAATGATGAATGAACATTCTTTGAAGGAGCTGATGACAAAATGGGATTTGTTCTAAAGTGTTTTGTTCAAAGAGCAAACTCATTCCTAAAGGTCGGAGGTTTTTTTTTTTTTTCAAATTTTGTGTTTCTTTATTGTTCCTGTGAGCTTTCTTTTCTTCTGAGGTGATGGTTGTGTTCTTTCCTCTGGTCTTCTCAGTGAAGTTTTCTTGTCTGCATCTCGTGCCTTTCAGGTTCTTCACTTCAGTGAAGTCGCAGGGGAGACAAAGAAAACCTCCACAACCAGCCACGTGAGTCCCAGAATATTCCTGTGTATTTAAGAACACGGGGATGGCACTAAACAGGCCGGGCTCAGGTTCCACTACTGCTCTTTACAGGTGGTTTACATGAGCAAGACACAGCTGCTCTGAGTCAGTGACTTCATCTCTGTGAACGAGGGGCTGAGAGGGTTAAAAAGCCCTCCTGTGCAGCCATTTCTAACACTGCCTACCATGTTCTCAAGAAAAAGCTCAGTAAAGGTTATTATGACTATGAAATTAACAAGGCTCATAATCGCAATGTCACTAAGACAATTTAATGTGAATTCACTAAGGAATAGGCTCAAGAGGAAGAAGTTCAAGTCCAAAGATAATTGGGGAAATGGTCACTAGCACACATATGAGTCTAGGGTTAAATAGTGACAAACTGTTAGCTAACCAATATAGAAGGCTCCAGTTTCAGACCAGCATATGTTAGAAACATGCCTCAGCTAATTGGTGTCTTATAAGAAAAGACCTTTAATGCTCTGGGCTTTCTTAGCTTCATCTCAGTTAAACTAAGCTTACAGGTAATCAAAGTACAAAGATCAAAGGACTCGGCACATAGATGTTAACACAGAGAATCCACCAAGGCCAGAGCCATATATTAGGGCCAACAAATTTAAGGTTTTACCACCAGGAAGTATAACAGACTTTCATTTGTTTTAATAGTTTTAATATGCCAAACTTCCCGATAACCATATTGTGCATGGCTGTTGAAAAAGAAGTATGGTTCTTGTTAAGAAACGTAGAGTTTAACTGGGGTGCTATACTTCCTAAAATCAAGGAGGGAACCCAGTGGCTGAGCCTGGTTAGTTTACATGAGATAGACTAGAGCTAAGTATATGAGAGCAGGAGGAATGACTTTCCTCCTGCTGAAGATAAAGGAGAATATTCAGGGTATTTAAGGGTATTTAAGCAATTTTAAGGGAGAAGCCAAAGGTCATCTTTGAGCTTACTGGCATTTAGGCATTGCTCCTGGGGTCTGAATTTCACTGACAGCCTAATTCAATGAGCATCTTCTTTGATGTTGAAGGCTGAAGACTCAGAAATTGTACACCATCAGTTTCAAAAGATGCTGACAGAATTAAACACACCCACTGATGCATTCGAGCTGAAAATTGCCAACAGTCTTTATGGAGAAAAGACTTTTCAATTTCTTCAGGTAAGTTTTCCTGCCCTTCCACACCTTTCATCTGCATTCTGCTCCCTATTTCTGAGGCCAGATGGGGGGAGCAAGGAGGATTGACTGGGATGGGGAATGTTTGCTCCAGCACCACAACTCACTGTCAGAGCAGTGTCCCAGATCCGGACAGTGCATGTCACCTGTGCACACAGGAATTCCCCAAGGAGGATGTTACTGCGACTATGACGAACTGAACTACTACAGACACAGGGAACATGTTTTGGAGAGAAATGTTGGCTAAGAGGTTTCTAGAATGTGTAGACACTTGTATCTGTCCTTAAAGAGAGCTGGGGACATGTCGGGGAATATTGTATTCCTAGGATTGGACAAATGCACAGAGATGAGAAATGCAAAGGTCAGATTTACCAGTCACAATGCTCATGAACAATGCCTTTCCTTAAGAGCATCTTGCTAGTAATGGTGCATATCTTTGTTTCTTCCTCTATTCTCCTTTCTTATGTCATATACTTTCAACGTTTGGTAACTTCCTCTTTTGTGCCACACTGCATTTCCCTCTTACAATGCCTGCCTGCCATTTGTATTCAAATATGAATGTGCCGGAAATGGCGGATGTGGTCACGGTCTGCATTCAGCTCACCACACTCATAAGCTAACTACTGCATGCATTAGTCTTCATTCCTCCTTTCTTTCTCTACATCTCAAAGGAATATCTGGATGAACTGAAGAAATTTTACCTAGCCAATGTGGAATCACTCGATTTTGTAAACAATACAGAAGAAAGCCGGAAGAAGATTAACGCCTGGGTGGAAAGCCAAACAAATGGTAGAGTATGAAAGGGCTGCTTGCTACACAAGCATTTTGAGTGCCCTGGGCAGGAGCCCTGTGAGTGACATGTGCAGGAGCCCTGTGAGTGACATGTGCAAGAGCCCTGTGGGAGGATGTGGAGATGGGGTTGGAGAGAAGGAGGAAATGGCACTGCAGATGTGGTGGGGTCCCAGGCATGGAGAGAGAATTAGGGTCGGGAGGGCATAGGCTCTGGGTGACAGTGTCTTTGTGCATGCTGAGTCCATATCAGAGCTGTTTTGAGCCCCTATCCTTTCCTTGAAAGCAGGGATTACTTTTCATTATGGATAGTTAAGAGAATACACAAGAAAGGAATCCTTTCTCTTCTCTCTAGCTGAGAAAATGTAAATTCTCCCTGGAACCCACAATGCTTGCCACCTGAGCTGGAGCTCCCTGGGCTCATTTTACCCACACCTCCTAGACAAGTACAGGCAGGTTCTCCTGCCTTATCAGAGGCTTATCAGAGCCTCCTTTGTTCTCTGAATATCTCTCCTTCCTCCAACTCTCATGAGAAGCCAAGGCTCCAGCAGCCCAACTTGCAAATGCATCCACACCAAAGGACTAGTGCCTGACTGCACAGGGCGTACATGTCCAGTCAGAGAGCTCATATTTTTCAAGATTAATGTGCAGTTGGGCTCCATTTCCTCTGAGTCATGATATAATCCGGGAAATCAAGTAGAAGGGAAGATGGGAAGGGAGTAGGGAAAGAGATGAGTTGGCAGAGTCAACAAAACATGTTTGCCAGTATTCAATGTGAAATGGCTAGAATCACCCTGCAGAAAGTCCAGCCTGCTGTCCCATCACAAGAAGCTCTGTCTCCATCCCAGGCCAGCACCACAAAGAAGGCTGCAGCTGGCAAACAGGCCAATGAGTCCCTAGGAGCTAAATTAACCAATGATCAGCATCTCCCAGACAGATCGCTTGTACCTGCATGACAGGCCTTTATGTTCTTTCCTTTGCAGACAAAATCAAAGACCTGTTCCCTGTTGATAGTCTGGACTCAAGCACCGCCCTGGTTCTGGTGAATGCAATCTATTTCAAAGGGCAGTGGGAGGAGAAGTTTAAAAAAGAATATACTGAAGAAGGAAACTTTTGGCTAAACAAGGTAACAGTTAATTTAATTATGTGATATAGGGTAGTTTTAAATGAAAGATGCAATTTAAGCATACTTGTTATGTTTTCCATTAAAATTTGTGGATATCTAGTTTATTCTAGTAGTTACATTTAGCTTGAAATATCTGAAGAACCTTGTGTGTCTAGTTTATGAAATTCCTGTTTTGGCTCTTCCAACAACAAAGATGTATGTGGCATCTCAGAAGACTTCTCTGTTGCCTCTTCTGTCTCATTGGGTTTTTGATGCTCTAATTTCTTGCAGGATGTGAGCAAACCCGTGCAGATGATGAAACAAACTAAGCATTTCAATGTTGCATCACTGGAGGCTGAGCAGGCCAAGATCCTGGAAATACCTTACAAAGGCAATGAGCTGAGCATGATTGTCCTGCTGCCCAATGAAGTGGATGGGCTGCAGAAGGTAAAACTTGCCTCTCCAGGTCCTCTTTCCTACACTTCCAGGTCTAAACTAGCTTCTAGACCAAGGAGCGTCAGAGTAATGAAAAATGCCAGCTGAGAAACGATGTTTCCTCTTTGAAAGGCAAACATTTACAGTCAGACACAAAACAATTTACTAGAGTTATACATATGTATTATCAATTGATGGTAATAGTGGACAGCAATTTAACTTTGGTAGAGAGAGTAGAGAATTGTGTGAGATGTTTGCAAATATATGAAGCAAAAAATAACAATAAGGGATACTTGATAATTTCACTATGTAATAAGTAATGTATACAGAAAAATAAAAGGAGAGCCTACCAAAAAATGATACATTCATCACACTGGTAAGAGAAGTAAGAGCAATGATATAGTTTCCTTTCTACACAGAATAATGTACTGATTCTGGCTTTGTTCATACATATACAATGCTCACACAATATATTAACTATGTATATGTAGTCAGGACTTTTTGCTTATTAGAACAAGAGCTAATAAGTTGAATTATCTCTATATTCCATTTATTGCTAAAGATTTCCCACCTGCTCAGTTCATTTTCAAAAGGTGTTACAGATCTTTAATTTTAGCTGCTTTCTCTCCTATTCTTACAGCTTCAAGATAGTCTCACCGCTGAGAAACTACTAGACTGGACAAGTGCACAGAACATGTCCAAGATGCGAGTGAACTTATATTTGCCGCGGTTCAAGATGGCAGAAAAATACGACCTCAAGAACATCTTGGTACGCCTGGGGATGGCTGACACCTTCAATCCAAAGAAGGCTGACCTCTCAGGCATGAGTCAGGAAGGGGGTCTTGTAGTGAGCAAAGCCCTGCACCAGTCCTTTGTGGAGGTTACTGAGGAGGGAACAGAGGCTACAGTGGCCACAGGTGTACGCATTAGTAAGACATCAGCAATGACACGTGAAGAATTTTGCTGTGATCACCCTTTCCTCTTCTTTATCAAGGAAAATAAGACCAATTGCATCGTCTTCGTTGGCAGATTTGCTTCCCCTTGATGGCTTTGTCCCTACTCTTGGGAAAAGTTCACAAAAGTTATCCCAGTAAATGCATGGATGAAGACAACAGCTTCCCTTTCATTCGTTTCCTTCCCAGTTTCATAGACACCACTGAAAACTCAGGAGTGGAAGGCACACAATTATTTTCCCCTTTCAACCCACATATATGCACCTCCTCTTTTTCTCATAACAAATTCTCTTCACACAAAATGTACAAAGTTAGGACAAAGTGATATTTCAATACTGGTTCTTGTAAATTTGAAAAATGATTCTGTTTGTGACCTGTTTTAGATGAAACAAACCAAATAAGACTTTATGAGATGAGGAGAAGCTCAGTGAACCTCCTGCCCTCCCTTTCCTCCTCTTCCTTCCTCCTACTCTTCTTCCCTCTCCTCTTTCTCCTCTTCTTCTTCCTTCTTCTTTATTTTGGGGGTGGGGTGGGGTTGGGAGTAGAAGTGGAAATCTTTCTGCTCCATGGGGGAGGGGGAAAGAGAGGTGATATGGGTGGGGGGGACGGGATATGGGGAAGGGTTGGGAAGGGTAAACAAAGGAGGAGGCAACAATGCTTGATAAGAAATGTACTCACTATCTTGCCCATGTAATTGTAACTTCTCTGTATGGTATTTTCATAATAAAAATTTTTTTAAAAGACTTTATCTTTAAAAGAAGTCTAAGAGTTGATTTACTCACACATTCTGATTTACCTGAATTTAGGAAATATCTGAGAACCTGCTTATATTTCTTAGTCTGTGATTCTATAAAATACAATATCAATAAACAATGTCATACCATATATCTGTGGCTTTGCCTTTTATTACCCTCAAGAAATGCATATGACCAATATCATCTTAGAAAGATGAGTGATGAAGATATCAGAACTAAAAATTCAAAATCAATACAGACATGCTGACCAGTAAGCAGGTAGCTTATTTTAGATATTCGTTGTATGTTGTTTCAAATGAAGAAATGTTTGTTTGTTTGTTGTAGTGATGAGGACTGAACCCAGGGTTGGCCTTATTCTTTCTAAGCAAGCTCTCTACCACCGAGCTAAACCCCAGCCCAAGGAAAACTTAGAATTCTACAAGACAATAGCTACAGATATCCACCTAAGAAAATGGATTAATATAATTGTCATTTTAGTAGATGTCAGGAAACACTCTAGAAGCTTGTACTGTCCAAAGCAGTAATCATTAGTCATGTGATCATTTAAAATTAAGATTAAACAAAATTAAAAATGTGACTCTTTCATCTCACTAACCATAAATTATTTGCACACGACTAGCAGACCCCATAGTAAGCATGTGCTTCCTGAACATTTCCATCATCATAGACTCTGAGCAGCTGTGGTCAGTGAAGTGAGAAGATCTTCTATGATGTCCCTGTAATGTTCTTAACAAAATAAACCAGACTTTTTAATCCATTAAAATTTATCTACCAAAATTATTAAGTATCAAGTTGAATAGGAAATACTACAAGAATTGAGTTTGAAAGGTAAATAGAAAATCAATATTACAACTATTTGACAATAAATTCACTTAAAAGAGAGTAGATCAGTTTATACTGTGACGTCATTTTTATTTTTGAGAATAATACACTGTACACGTATTTGTGTGTATACATACAACCTATGTCTCGAGGAATATATAAGAAACAACAGCCAGGTGCAGGGCTCATGCCTCTAATCCCAGGAGGCTCGTAATTTGAGGCCGGTTTGGCTAAAAAGCTTCCTGAGCTCTAAACCAATAAGATGGAGTGTGGTGTGAACATTTGTTATTCCGCCTACATGAGAAGCAAAAACAGGAGGATCACCATTCATATCAACCTAGACATCAATGCAAGACCCTACTCAGAAAAGTAGCAGAACAAAAAGCTGGGGGGGGTTCAAGCCATAGAGTCTCCCCAGCAATCTCAAGGCCCTGAGTTCAACCACAAGGACCACTGTGAAATTAAAACAGAAAAGAGAAAAGGAAACTACACCATTTATTCTGAGGTAGGATGATTGAATGATTTGATGACACGGGTGACAGAGAGATTTGGTACTTTAAGTGCTTTGTTATCTATTGCATCTTGAGTAAGGTACATGTCCTTGTCAAACATCAATAAAATCAACATTAATAAAAAGTTAACTAGTTCTGTAGAATGGTGGCTCATACCTGGATTCCTAGCTACTCAGGAGGGTGAAATCTTAGAACTGTGGTTCAAAACCACCCTGGGCAGAAGAGTCCCTGGAAGGCTTTTAACCCCAATTAAACATTCAAAAACTAGAAGTGGAGCTATGGTCAAAGTGGAAAAGCAGTGGCCTTGAGCAAACAAAATCAGGAAAGCACCCAGTCCCTGAGTTCAATTCCCACAACCAGCAACAACAACAAAAGTTAACTAATTCATTAATTTTAGTCATATATCTAGGACTAACTTGTAGTCCATTAAGGCACTACCAACTTTCCAGGAAAACAGAGCATATCTAAATATGGCTTCTAGAATAACATATGTTGAAGGAGAATACTCTGTAATTATACTAGATTACTCCTGTCTACAAAATTATACTCTACTTCCAAAATGCAGTTGCACAACTAGCTAACAAAATCTGGAAATGCTAGTTCAAGATAACAAATAGTGAGAGAGGAAACAAAAATATTTATAGCAAAGAAAACAATACAAAAGTATACGAATGCCGTATTGTGTTACATGAGTTGGTGATTGAGTTATGATGTCTGGGTCATAACAAAATCTCAGTGAATAATTCTGTTAAAAAGACATGAAGCCCATGTCAAGTTTGTAAGGACACAAAGAAACCTAGAACAAGAGACAAATTCTCTGTTACTACTGCTACTACTACTACTACTATTATTATTATTAAGCTGTCCCATTCACAGGTGCCCCAAAGGCTTAGATGGCCCTCACTGGTGGACTGGCAGGTCATTGTCTCAAGATGGGTCAGGTGAATCGGGTGGGGCCTGTGTCAGCAGTAAGAGGCACAGCTGCTGGCAGGTGCTGTTCTGGTCCTGTCAGGTGCTTCTGAAGCCATGGCAGGAGAGAATGGCTCAGACAGA